GGAGGTCTGAAGGAAGAGGCAGGGACTTGGCGACCCGGCTTCCTGGGAAGGACAGGCCTGGAGTTCCTTCCCTTCTTGGCCTGAGAGGTTGCTTTTTAAAAATCCTCCAGCCCTTGTTCCATCTGTCTGCCTACCCACTGAAAAGGAATCCACAGCAGATTGGAGATGCAACCCCTCCCCCGCCCCCCTCAACCCTAGGCCTCTGGCAAGATGCAGTTGGTATTCCGGGCTTGGGCGTGGGCTAGAGGGGGGAGACAGGGCAACAAGGTAGAGAAGCACATTTTAAAAACACAGACAAGTTGGCTAGGCCATCACCAACCAACTTACCTTCAGTCTCTGTGGGTAATTCCCCCAAATCTTGATTTTTACCCCCCTTTGCAATTCTCCTTTAAAAAGAATTAGAAAACATTTCAAAACCAGGGGCACCAAGCACGAACTCCTCCCACCTCCCCGAAGTCTCAAATGTCCTCCCATCTCTTTGAGGTCAATTGGGCACTCCCTTCTAGCACCATATTTTTCTGCTCTAGGACATTAATATCTACACCCCGACCCCATCAGTTACAGTTTTCAGAGGGCTCAGGGATGGTGAGAGATCTTGAAAGTCAGAGCTGTCTATATTATAAATATATATATATTTTTTCTTTTATGGAAAAGCTGGGAGGTGATTGTCAGGACTGAGGGTTTGCCCATTCTACTGCCTCCCACCCATCTCAGCTCCAGGTCCATCCCCCTCTTTCCACAAAAAGCAATCGGAGACACCAGGTTCTTATACACTTTTTCTTCAGTTGCTCTCTTGACTTAACGTGAAAACAGGGTATATTTTAACAAACTGTCTGTCCCGGGCAGGGGCTGCAGCGGGGCCTGTGTGCCTTGCTCAAGCCCCTGACAGGAAGGACACTTTCGTTGCACTTAGAGTTTACATTTTAATGGATATAAAAACAACTGTGAGAGATGCCTGCAGGAGTCCAGCATCGCTCAAAAAGTGTGTGTTCTAGTGAACATTTTCATATATATTTATTGGTCATAGCCTGTTAAAATATTTTCTTTTTCTGTATTATTTATCCCCTTACATTATGTATTTATACGAGGGAAAAAGGAAAAAAAACTGTACTTTTTTTTTTTTTAGTATTTACTTGTTATAAAGGACGTGTTTCCTGTCATGTAAAACCAGCTATTTTAGTTATTATTGTACTCTAGAAAAGAGCTGTAGATTTATGTTAAACTCGTACTTATGAGCAATTGTAATTAGTTCTAAAAGGCATGAACTCAGCTCCTAATTGTCACTGTATAGTCCTGAACTTGTAGAATTAGAGTTAATTCCCTCTTGGAACTTTCTTTGTTCTTCCGTAGTCACTTTTTTTCCTTACTTAAAAGGGTTGTCTGTCAAACAATTCTTGAATAAACTTTCTGTTATCAATTTTATCTTGTCCTGGTGGTCCAATTTAGATAGCAGAGGGAGGCTGCTGACTGCCAAATTTCCCCCAAGGGGATGAGGACACTGGAGACCCCATCTTGGCCTTTTCGCGCACAGCTCAGGCGCCGACCTCCCCTGGCTGTATCTCATGTTTATATAGCTTTTCTCATAGGAGCCTGGGACATCCTGCCATCTCCTTGAGCTAAGATTTAAGAAACAAGTTGGGAGGAAGGAGCACTCTTGGGTGCTCGCTCTAGGTCTTTCTGTTTGGCTTCTTTGCCTCTCCATTTTTCTCATTCATTGACCTTTTGTCCTTTTGCTCCTTTGGCTACAACTTCCTTGCCCAGCCCCTGCCCCTACGCCCCCCCGCCCCCCAATAACAACAACAAAAATCGGGCAGATTACTGTTCCTTCCACGCAACCTAAACTTCACAGTTCTCTTCCGGAGCGACAAAGAAGTCGTCACGTGACCCGAAGCCCAACCACCATTGGGTCTAGAATGAAAACAAAGGAAAATGATTAATCTAAAAAAAAAAAAAATCTGAGGCCTGGACTTCTAAGGTCAAACCTTAAAACTAAAGTGAAATTAAATTACTAAATAAAACTGGGGGCGGAGGGAAAGGCGGCCCCTTTGATTTCCCCAGCCAGGCAGCCAGGGAGCGGGGAGAGGCGGAGGGTGGGAGAAGCTGTTGGATCGAAGCGTAAATAAAATAGTCCCCAGGCGAATGGGCGACTCTGTTTTCCACGATCCCTGGGAAAACTTCATTTCTTAGTCGTGGTTCCATAAAAGTTTTATCACACGGGAGCGAGGATAGAGAGGGTCTGTCAGAGATGAAATGTCACCGCTGCGTCGCTGGAGTCGATAAGAGCGAGGAGACAGGGCGGCTGAAATATGGAGCTAATTCGTTGAAAGGGAGGCGATGGCGGCTTGCTGAAGAGTTGCATAATTCTAATTGTAAGCGATGCGCAGGCCTTGCTTAATTAGGGGCATATATTTGGCGGAAGTGATGGGGGGGGGGTGTCGGTGAGAATCTTTGCAGGCCCTCCGCCTTAAAGAGAGGGCTGCTTTTCATGTTTATGTTGCATCCTGGCAGTCCAAGGTTAGTAATTACAGTCTTTATGCAACAATAAATAACAATAAAAAAAAAAGCAACCTGATTTCTACACCCCATCCCCGCCCCCCTGCCCCCCAGTAGGATTTTTAACTGGACTCGGCTCATCCAAGCGGCAAGCAATTTAGCATTGGGTCAGGCTATAATTTAAAGGCATAAGAGCGTGCAAAGTTTGATTGGGATCAAATAACGCTCAAGGGTTTTGCTTTCTCTCTCTCTTCCCCTCTTCCCTGAATCACATTTTCTGAATGATGTAACTAGATGAGGCGCCATGTTTGGCTCTGGGGGTGCAGCGGATTGATCGTTTAGCAGGAGAGAGGTAGGCCAAGAGAGAGAATTTAGCTCGAGCTTGAAAACCAGAGCTCTGGCTTAAAGCTGGTTGGCAAACAAGAAAGATCAGGGCGGACTTAGCTTGGTGTCCCCCACCCCCCCGTTTTTTTTTTTTTTCCCCTGCGAGATTCCAGCGCTAGCTCAGCAGCCAAAGTCATGGCGAAAATATCTGTGTGTAAGATCCACAGCACAACAGGGGGCGGGGAAGCCGCGTCTCCGGGAAGGAGGGCTCTCTTGGCCCCTTTTAACACCCAAGTTTTCTGCTGTTCTCTAATCTGGCAGTAAAACCTGTCAGCAGGGTTAGGGAGGGCCGTATTTCCTGCAGGGGCAGGCTTGGCCGGCTGGTGCCGGCAGCAGCCCTGGACCCCGCAGCCAGCTCCAGAGCCCGTGCAAAAACTTTCAGGGCTTCTCAAGGGGGTTGTGGAGAGAGAGCCCGCTCGCAGGCCTCGCTGCACAACTTGCAGACAACCACTGATCCTATACTTAGTCCTACTATATGGTCATAAAGGTGCTTTCTTTGGAACTGAGCTGGACATAACCGTCTCTGGCCAGTTTGTCCAGTTCATAGCAGTTCCCTTTTGAGCCTTTCAGAGCTTGCCAGACCGGCCACCCCCTGTCCCCGCAGCGCCCACCTCCAACTGGCTCTCCCCCAGCCCCAACCTTCCGATGCAGACATCTCGGTCCTCTTTAAATACTCACCACCACCCACGCGGATGAATACTCACTAACTAGCATAATGATAAAAATGGTGACAGAAAGTTTCTAGTTCCAGCTCCCGGCTGAGTGGCCATGTCTCTGCTAGCCAGCCTTCTCCTCCTGGCTGGGCAGCTGGGAGCCAGGAGGGGGAGGGGAGGCCAGAGCCGTGGGAGTTCTCCAGACAAACTTTCCACCCAACTCAGCGCCCTACCCTCTGTCCCCATTCCCCATCTGTTTCCCCAGCTCCCAGAATCACCTTTCTCTTGTGCTAACACCACCCGCCCCCAGGCCTTTTAAAGGGATGGGGAATTTCGGCTGTTCCCTCTGCTTTCCCAAAGAGCCAAATTCTTTGATGCCATCCGAGGGAGCTGTCAGGGGGCTAAGATTGATCGCCTCATCTCCTCTCCGTCCCTCTGACCCACTTATTTAAAAATCTTCCCCCAGATCGACTTTTCATTTTCTGCTTTGAGATCTGGTTTACCACCAATTGTTTGGAACCCTCAGTCTTGTGCCTCCTCCCTGCAGTAAATTACAGCACTCCCTGAAGTTCAAGCTATCTGGATCCCTTTAAAATAAATAACAAACAAACAAACAAAAACCAAAAATTCCCTCCGGGGCCAGGAAAGGAGTATCATCTCAGTGGTCATTATTTCCACCCCCTCCATGTCCAGGGAATTCTTTCCTGACGGTGATTTTTTTTTTAACTAGCATAATGATAAAAATGGGAGGGGGCATCTCTTTGTTCTAGGGGAGAAAATCCACCCCCCCACCCCCAACTTTGAGAATGCTCTAAGTGAAATGAATGGGTGGCCACCGTGGTTCTTGTTCATGTTCCTGAGTATAGATACAGATACAGGCTTGAGGCTTGAGTGGTGCTGTGCATTTTAGACCCTGACCCTTGAGGGGGCGGGTCATAGAGGAGTGCAGATGCCTCCAGGTGAGCAAGGCAGGTGGATGGACATAGGGGCAGGGGCAATGCTGCAAACACTGGGCAGAAGGGGAACTGAGACCACACAGCTATGGAGGCCAGAGGCCCAAAAGGGCCTCTCACCATCTATCTCACTCCTCTGTGTCAGCCTGGGAGTGCCTGTCGATTTTCCAAGATTTATCTGTTGCTTTTGGAGGGTGGGACGGGGATAGTGGTGCTGAGGATTGTAAATCTCTTCTCTTCCTTATTGCACCTTAACACTGACTTTTCCCAAAGGCTGGCGGGGAAGTCTCTTTTTACTACCTCTTCTTGCCACACTGAGGTCCTCACTCAACCTTCTTTTTTGGGGGGTGCGGGACGATGCTGCTGGCCATGTACAGAAAGCAATGAACTCTATTAAAATATTTCAAAAAGAGGAAAATCTCTCCCTTAGATACTCTTGTTTTCCAGGCTTCTGGAGGATCTTAATTCTTTGAAGGAGATGAGGGAAAGATCCTCTGGTGTTTTTTTTTTTTTTTTTTTTTTTAAAAAGGGGATTTTTTGAAGAAAGGGAGGCATTGGGGAGAGGGAGTGAAGGACTGGGGGGGTTCATGGTGTCCAGGTCGGGGGTCCTCTAGAGTTTTTGAATCAATTAAAGCAAATAATGCTCTCTGTTTTCCACCAGGCCCAGACCGGCGATTGGCCGAGTCTGGTCGCGTGACCACGAATTCCCTGCAATTTCGCCAGAGTCCTGGGTTTAATAGAGAGAGTCCCCATACGCTTGTATTTATCAGCAATATACAATTATAAAGGCCCCAAATATAAAAAAAAAAAGAGAGAGAGAGAGACAGCAAAATCCCTCCCTCCCAAAATCGCTCCATCACATAAACCTGGGGGGGGCAGGAGGGGGGGTCCCTTCCGATCCTCCCTCCTGACGCCCCCCCCAGCAGGCCCCCTCCCCCACCATTGAAAGCCATGAATTTTGAATTTGAGAGGGAGATTGGGTTTATAAACAGCCAGCCATCGCTCGCCGAGTGTCTGACTTCCTTCCCCGCTGTCTTGGAGACATTTCAAACTTCATCAATCAAGGAGTCGACATTAATTCCTCCTCCTCCTCCTTTCCAGCAAACCTTCCCCAGCCTCCAGCTCGGCGCCTCCACCCTTCAGAGACCCGGGAGCCAAAAGCGAGCC